TAGTGCATTTTTGTAATAAAGGTAAGGAGCTCAGTATGTTAATAAACTCCCTAAGTTTATAGTAGTTTGTCGCATGATATGCTTTTATTCGCCATGTTCAATTATGTTAGGCATGTGTGTGTGTGTGTGTGTGTGTACAAAGAACAGCATCTACATCTAACTTAGCATTATATCAGATACTGAATACTCTGCCTAATAATACATGTAGTACGTACTTACTAACTGATGAAACCTATTTATTGTTTTACTATCATACCTTTTCCTGTTACTGAAGCATCAGAAGATGCACTGTGGCTTACCTATCAAGTATAGTTCTCTGCATCAGATTTCTCATATTGCTGTCATCTCATTTTTACAGGCTTATGTGGCATCCAAAGATAATAACACATGATAGTTTTGTATTTTCATAACTTATACAGGATCGCATTAAATACTTATATTAGAGCAAGGGTAACACTATCGTTTATACTATTTGCAACAAAGAATTAGTTATTGAATTACACAGCCAATTTATATATCTAGTGTTGGTGTTTCATGTTCCCATACACGATCTTGCAAATCTGTTGCAGGTAATATATCTCTTTTAAGCCTTTGTAACCGAGTATGTTGCTATGATAGGTTGGAATACATAGCCTTCCTAAATTGGTTTCATCACAAACTTTCTTTAATTCTAAAATAACACCCAAATATGTAGAAGAGCATACATGGACAACAATTAGGAATTGTGCTATGTTGTGTATTTCCTGCATTAATTACAGTTTATACATGAAGATGTGGCTTTCAATAGTGAAGTATGAGATGGATAAATACATAGTACAGATGATAAGTATCAACTGCCGATACCTTATACATGTACATCTATTTAGCTTTACATTCATCACTGCTTGTTGCGTAATGATTTGATATTTTTGTATGAAGTTGAGATATGTCGATGCTGGATCACTTCTCCTTCATGACTTATCTCTTCATTGTTTACCTACACCCAGTAATAACAATTTTGTGGCTATTGAAAGAGATCTTATTTTCGACGAATCTACTGCAGTATATGTAAAAATGACCTGTCTTTAATTGACCATTTCCCGTTCATTGCGAGAATCACGCGGTATGCGTGAAATCGAACGTACAAACAGGACAAACAAAGGTCATAGCGTTGTAGTGGCGTCAAACATCGCGTGGGATCAGACAAACGCGAAAGTATTTCGGGAGACATGTCCATGCTTAATAATGTGCTGTCCACATTTGATGATAGGCAATTTCGATTAAGTAAGGGTATTCGGAAGCAATATTCCTCTGTCGAAGATCGGACGGTCGATGTGAGCTACGTACTAAGAAATTCAAGTTCAAAATCAAATCGTTCGATTTTTGCGGCAGACGTTCGACGCGCGTCTTTCATGCATCTCGCGAGATCTCGCAATTGTACGGAAAATCATCTAAAGTATTCACAAAAACTGACGCCCATTACGCCCTGACGCCCTTTAGGCTAAGTTAAAGTTCGCAAGCATAGCATGTTGACAAAAAACCCAAATATGCTACCACCTCAACTGAAAAGGGGAACATTTACACTTGCAAGCTCTTGTAAAGAAACATGCATTTAATCATTGTACACCAGCACTAGATCTTATACTTCACTGTTGAATGTGTGATGCAATCACCAAGTTTTACTAATACTTGATGAGCAATGCGTGTTCCAATATAGTATTTCATTTCATATAGCTGTTGATGTGAGAGTATCCTGTACCAAAAATGCATGAATGTGCAAGTAAAATAACAACCATCAGAGGTATATTACTTGGGGTTTGCCACTACGGTGACATGAAACCAAGATCCCGTTTCAATCTCGCTCTCGCATAAGCGTTCCAACTCAGAAAAATGCGAATGCGCATACCCGAGGTAACTAGAATACTGAGATGTCCAGGTGGATCAAAATAGCTGCTCACGGATGACGGATTACGATAACTATATTTTCTGTACATTTTCGATGTATTACATTTTTTTCACTATGAATGTGGTAATACATGTTTTATTGTTTTATTACAAACCGCCTATGTCATGTCAGAAGGTCGTAGCATCAGTCTCGCTATCTACGAGATGAGACTTGAATAGGATCTTGGCATGATGTCACCGTACAGTACTATGCGCGTTGCAAACCCCAAGTAATGTACCTCTGCTACCATGTGTTATATGTGAATGTCATACAGAAGCTTGTTACAACATGTTCAGCTAGCTAGCTGTGCACTAGCATCTACTTTGCTTTATTGGAACCAGTATATGTTGTTGTGAAATATGTTTTTGTTTGTTTATTATATATTTATGCTAATAGTCATGATTTCTACAAAGAACTTGAACATGCCTAGTGCATGGGAAATGCCCAACCACATATTTCCCGTTTTTGATTTGTGTTCAGCTGAAATAGACAATTATTGATTTTTTAGACGAAAATGATTATTCGTATCCAAGTAAATTTTAGATATTTCTCGCGTTGTAGCCACGCCCACCTATCCTGAAACAGTCGACTGTTTCCGGCTTTCCGACTTTCCGACCGAAGTGAAAGTGCTCCACAAAACGCCAAAATATGAGAGGAAGCCATGCTCTTGCGCTATACTTCAATGAATACTATGTCATTTAACGATAATATTAACGATATATATATTTCAGTCGGTCGGCGTTTTTTTGAAACGTTGCATTTTTGGGGCAAGGGTTTGAGAATATACTCGTTTATAAACGATCAGAAGGTTTAACATCAGTAGACGAAAGCCCTAAAATCAATGAGAAAAAGTTTGGGTGGACATTCTCCCGATTGTTAAAAAACAAGTCTGCAAAGTTGTGAAAAGCGATTGAAAAGTTGGAAAATTTACTCTGAAATGGATAATATGTTGTCATATTGTCAAGACTCATAGTTAGCAGACCAAAAAAGTGAATACATATCTCATAAATTGCCGTTGTATTACCGTACTCTCCTCCGAAAATGTAGAGGTCATAGGTCAATTCACGAAAGATACAAGTGCAAACGATATCAACTTTCAATCATTGCAACACATTGAATGGCCACCAATTCTCGTTAAATGCAAATGACTTTCTTAGCAGACTGGGTAGGTGATCATGCAACAATATAAGTTAAGCTCAATCGGCCATGGATAGTACTTGCATTTATTGTGTTTATTATGTGCGGTTCTTTGATGTTGTTTAATTCTGTAACAGTGACGCATTTATTTATTTATTTATTTATTTATTTATTTATTTATTTATTTATTTATTTATTTATTTATTTATTTATTTATTTATTTATTTATTTATTTATTTATTTATTTATTTATTTATTTATTTATTTATTTATTTATTTATTTATTTATTTATTAAAAACATCTGAAACATCAAAGTCAAACGCCGGATGCCCAACGCAAGCTCGGCTGGAAGCAAGTAAACAATGACGTCATATTTAGTTCGATGCGATGTCACTACTTTCGTATCGAGCTACAAGTATCTCTCCATAAACGAATCGTTCTCTTTCCGGAATACGCATCACAATATTAATGGTTATCAGCTGTTCGCGTGACCGTGGTTCACTAGTAAATATTAATTTTAATATAATATAAGTTCCTAAGTAAAATTGAAAAGTTCAGGCGGCAATGATGTTTCCGTACATGTTCACCAACTTGTTGTTACCTTCAGATTGTACCCCGTTTTCGACAAAATTTTTGAAAATTTTTGTTTCCATGAAGCATTAATCTGCTTATTATGTTCGTTTTTTTATTATTCTCTCACATTTTTTTCAAATGCTCTTTCAATCCGTATGTTTTATTCAAAATGGTGGACGGACGTTTCGGCCGCGGATGTTTTGGCAGTGGACGTTTCGGGGCATTTAAATACATGTACATGTACTTGTTTTTTTACTTAAAGTAAAACCAAGGAAATATATACAATTAAAAACAATGAATATCTAAATGCCCATGAAAAATAGCACGTCACTCAATGTGTTTCGTCTACTGGCAAGAAAATCACTATTTTCTATTCCAGAATAAACCAAATACCTTAACCTATACTGCCAACACTTATTGTTATGAAATAACTGATATCAACACATATAATGGTGGGTGTGAATTTCACAATGAAAGAAAATCATTATGTCCTCTTATGCCCATTACGTATATTCAACAATATAAAAGTGGTAAAACGTTGTTTTTTTTATATGTTACGACCACTGTTTACTTGACCAGATTGGGAGATATTTCTGTACGGCTTCACTAATGTCGGCAACATTACTTGTAGCGCTAATTTCAAATACTGAAGATCGTTTATTTTACAGATGAGAATCACGACCCAAAATGTCCACCCTGGTCGAAACTCTTGGCCGAAACGTCCGGGCCGAAACGTTCGCGCAAAACAAGGCTACAATTTCTTTTGTTTTCGTGGTGCATAGATTTCAAGCTTTTTCGCATTGTGGGCGAAACTAAAAAATGTTTCCACAAATTTTTTTTTACTCCAAAGGCATAATAAGGAAGTAAATATTATTCGTTCCAATTGATAAAATAGATAACAGGAAATAATTTGGAACAATTCCAATGTGCGCATCAACAGGGATCCAATTGTATGGAAACAATTTATAGATGCTGGTATTATCTTTATCAATGATTTATTTTGTAAGACTTGTACGTTTATGAAATATGATGAATTTATTGTAAAGTTTGGTAAGTTATATACACACAGCGAGTATAATCAGTTGGTATCAGCCATTCCAACCATGAAAAGATTTGGGTCTGTATGCCAAATATGCGCAAAAAATTAACAGAGATATTTACACGTATTTATTGAATTTGCATAACTTCAAATGAAATCTCTTTGCATATTAAACACTATTGGCATGACATTCTTGACTGTAGCATTCCGTGGAAAATAGTGTTTTCACTTCCTTACAATAGGTCCCAAATTAAGATATTTTCAATACAAGGTTATTATATAATTTTTTCCATCAAATCGTCTTCTTCACTCATGGAATATGATTGATGATTCTGTATGTACGTTTTGTAAGGAAGTAATAGAGGACTATTTTCATCTCTTCTGGGATTGCGTTTTTATTTCAGAATTCTGGCCATGCGCATTACAGTGGTATCGTACTATAACACATTCCAGCGTATCATTAAATGCAAGGAAATGTATCCTTGGTGATGTCCGCAAACCATGCCAATATATTATTTAGTGCATTTCTCCCGATGGTTCGATACTCCATCTATCGTTGTAAAATATTGGGAAATAGTATCAACTTAACATGAATTGTTTCAAGCTGTATATTAAATCTGTGTATACTGTTGAAAATCAAAGTGCATGTATGAACGGAAAGCAATCTGAGCTTGCAGAGAAGTGGGGTACGTTTGTACAATACTTTTTACTAAAGTATATAGAGTGACTAATTTTCACTGGGTTTAAATTTCGCTTATTTACCATTTCAGACTTA